CTTATGTTCCTGTTAATAATGCTAATAAGTTCCTTTTTTAATACGCAATAATATTAAACTTTAAAACAACTAAGTTTCTCATCTTGCCCTGCCCTTGGCACTGTATTTTTACGACGGAACAAAAATAAATAGTTCAAGGTATTTTACTTAAATTGACCTCGATCCGACTAGCCGGATAGTCCATTAGGAAGTTAGCTGTGTCACTAATTAGTCGCAAATAATGTACAGTGAATTTTCTCCGAAATACACTCCCCTAGTAGTAATTCAATCCTTTTTCAACCTGCCGACCCGTAGACAAGAGATGCTATATTTACCTTGCTTTCCTTGTTTCACAAATAAATGTCTCATTAGGAATCGCGAAGAACTGTTTAATTAGTTAGGGATTATTCTTTTATACGATAACTATTTATCTTATAACAGCGTCTGCATGATAGGTTCATCTCCTGCAAGTAAGTCCTGAGCCTCCAATAAAAACATTTTATAAAACCCATTATTGCGTAACATACGGGAAAGGAATTCTTTTGGTCATTAAAGATCGCCCTTATTATATATTTATAAGGCCCATATTGAGAGGCCACGATTCCGAGCCGTAAGTATATCATCACTGGTACTTAACACACGATGATTGAAGATTTTCGTCTTTAGGCACTGAGGTATTTGATTGACTGAGGTATTGAAGAGGGCTATGCTAGGTGTTTCTTTACGAGATCGAATTAGAAATGAGAAGATCTGTAAACGAACTAAAGTCGCTGACATAGCCCAACGGATTAGCAAGCTGAAGTTAGCGTTAGCAAGCAAGCAATGCGCATAACTGACGGTCGATGGGGCAGCAAGGTTCTGGAATGGAGGCCACGTACCGGAAAAGGCAACGTAGGACGTCCACCCAGAAGGTGAACCCACGACCTCATAAAGGAAGGCACTGGATGCAGGCCGCCACCAACCGGCTATTGTGGAAATCATTGGGGGAGGCCTATACTCAGCAGTGGACGTCCTATGGCTGAAATGATTATGATGATGAAAGAACGCCCTTAAAACACACTTTACTCGCATTTAACAAGCCTAGAAAATATAAATTTGCGATGCCACGCGTAGTCAGTTTTCGTAACTATGCTACAGAACAAATAGAGGCAATGGACCGTTGTGATGGAATGAACTTTTAACACATCGACACTGCTATCAACATCCAAACCTCAAACTTTCCACCAAACCAATCTGGTGGCGGATTTGTGTGATTTATTTTGAAGGTTTCCATATTGCAGCAATACAATACTTGGTGTAGGTGCATTGAATAAGTGTAGGTGCATTGAATAAGTTGTTGTTAACTTTAAACAAGAACAACTTCAATATTCGATATTATTGCTATGTATTAAGCAAGATACCAAGTAACCAACGTTTCAACCGAACGCATTCCACGGATTTCCACTATTAAGTGTAATAGGTACCTACTTTAATTTCTACAAAATATTCAGAGCTATCCACAAGCTTTGTTTTAAAGTTTGTGGCTAATTTACACAATAAGCCAGTTAAATCGCGCAACAAGTAGCGATGCGATGATATACACACAAGTTCACTACAAAGCGACTAACAGTGCAAACAAACCACCCCTGATTGTGTAGCTTGCTCTAATTTTATTTACAGACACCCAGGGCGTGCATTGCATCCTAGGCATTTAGTTAATTTAGGCAAAACATACCTGCCACATGGTGTTTTACCGATTCTTTTGTTTGATCGTTCTATAGGGCTTATCTAGAAATAAAACAACGCCTACAGGCCCAGTTGGAAGATATCCATACTAATATTATAAATGGGAAAGTAACTCTGTCTGTCTGTCTGTCTCTCTTTCACGTCAAAACTACTGAACCGATTTGAATGAAAGGTACACAGATAGTCTAGAGCCTGAGAAAAGATATAGGCTACTTTTTATTGCAGAAAAGCTGTTGTAAGGGTTTAAAAGGGGGATGAAAGTTTGTATGAAAGTACTCACTTTCACGTCAAACCTACCGAACCGATTTGAATGAAATTTGGTACACAAACTGACCAGAGTCTGAGAAAAGACATAAGCTATTTTTAATGCGAAAAAGAAGTTGTAAAGGGAGATGAAATGTTAAATGAAGCAATTAGAATCTTGAAACTAATTTTTAGGCTTTTGGTTAGACAGAAATAAAAATTACATTTAAAGTATCTAAGAATGTTACGCTGAAGGGAGTAATAAAATTAAGGGAGGAAATTCGTCACTTTTGAAACTTTTTCTATTTTTTTCTATAGGGATACTCCCGACGTGATCCCACTGTCACCAAGTCAGGGTCTGATGATCGGATCCTAGGGAAATCGCGGCAAACCCTCAAATTTTATGGGCACGTATTACGTTTTCCTATTTTTTTTTCTTAAATTATTCAAGCATCTGAAATTCATCATTTCATGTTGAGCTGATGATGGAAGGCAAAACTCCTTAACGTTTACGGGTTGGAGGATAATTTTTTAAATATTACAGGTACGAATAGACCGAGATTTGTATTCTTTCAGGTTATTAAGGTTGGCTGATGATGGACGGTCATTTTAGGTTGCCAATTTACTAACCTGTAATTTGTAGGGAAGATGTTTTTTACACCTAACATGGGAAAAATATTGCGTGGCGCAGCACGGTGTAAGAGGGTAAATTCATATGCCTGAGTGTTCTTACTCTAAAGGTTCGACCAAAACAAACGCGCCATCGCCATCGCGCACGCGGGCTGATTTATGGTTAATTTAACTAAATAATGTTTTTCGTGACAAAAATTTTAAGTTGTTTTGTTATTAAATAATATGTTTTCGTTTAAATACATAGGTAGCTTATTTAAGTATTTACGCTCGTGTGTCTTATTTGTAAAATAATTAGACTAAATTATTAAAAGTGCCTACCCAAAGTCATTATTCCACGCGGACGAAGTCGCAGGCACAGCTAGTCTAAATATACATTATATACACTCAACATCAAATAAACCGCACATTCCGCGACGCGAACTTTAAAGATTTTCTTCTGAAACAATCATGGTGTCCCAGCAATATTGGTGTTATTTGAAAGCCCAATAAATAGGTATCCTTAAAGAAAAACACATTTAATTTCTTAATAAATGATTAACATATACCATAAATGTAACTTGAAAAATGACCTCACTTTGGGCTCACCTCTGGGATCAATTAGACCAAATTTTATGGTTATAAAACCAAATAATGATCACACGTGTCCTCCTTAACAGATGGATAGCGATTAATCCCAACTTAACAGTTTTATAGCCATAAAAGTTGGCTCAAGCGTAACTACCTATTTTTTGAAGAAGTGACTCTGGATCCTTCTAGAGACACTTTTTTGGAGTAAAAAACTTTCCTTTAATGAAATGAAGTTTAGAACTAGGCTTTTAAACGGTACCAATATTGATGGGAAGTGGGGATGCATACGTTTGAAAGTGCTTGTCGCGGGAGGTGCGATTTATTTGATGTCGAGTGTATAACTTAAAGGTGACTGACTGACTGACATAGTGATCTATCAACGCACAGCCCACTGCACGGATCAGGCTGAAATTCGGCATGGTACGCTAAGAAAGGATTTTATGAAACTCTACCCCTAAGGGGGAAAACGGGATCCACGCGTACGAAATCGCGGGCGGCCGCTAGTAACTAATATAACTAACTGAGATGAATGAGCTTCTTCCACCACTTCTTTTCAGCACTCCAGCCGATATGTTGTCCCGAAGTGGCGGTAGGGCAAGTTATATTTGGGACATGTATAGTGCCCTGAAAAGAGCCTACATACACCTCGGCATCAAATAAACCGCACCTCCCGCGACAAGCACTTTCAAACGTTTGCATCCCCACATCCCACCAATATTGGCACCATTTAAAAGCCTAGTTCTAAACTTCATTTCATTAAAGGAAAGGTTTTTACCCCAAAAATGTGTCTTTAGAAGGATCCAGAGTCACTTAATTAAAAAATTGGTAGTTACGCTGGAGCCAACTTTTATGGCTATAAAACTGTTAAGTTGCAATTAATCGCTATCCATCTGTTAAAGAGGACACGTGAGATCATTATTTGGTTTTATAACCATAAAAATTGGTCTAATTGATCCCAGAGGTGAGCCCAAAGTGAGGTCTTTTTTCAAGTCACATTTATGGTATATGTTAATCATTTAATAAGAAATTAAATGTGCCATGTTTTTCTTTAATGATATTTATTAAGCTTTCAAATAACACCAATTTTGTTGGGGCACCATGATTGAGTCAGAAGAAAATCTTTAAAGTTCGCGTTGCGGAAGGTGCGGTATTTGATGTTGAGTGTATAAATAAATGTGCCAGCATTAGTACTGACTGAATGTACTTGATTGACACAGTAATTAAAAAAAAACATTCAAACATTTCGGTCCATTTTGAAACATTGTTTTGTTATGTTGACATATTGTTATGCAGAACCTAAACAAATAGTCACAGATTAATTTTTCGGAATTCTATAATAATGGATAGTTCGAGACCAATCATTTGTTGTTCCAACTTCTATGTAAAACATATTTGTTTTCGTAGTGACTGAGTGACAATAGTAGGAGATTTCTATACAGGATAGCTGATATCAATATTGTGTGTTTTCCATCCCTTTCAATTCGGACTGCGCAATAATGCATAGGCATTATATTACAGGACTGAAATAAAATACATTTATTTGTTTATAGGGGGTCAAGTTTTTTTCTACCATGTGCAAATAAACATGGCAACTCACAGCACACTACCTACCAAACATTGAGATGTCATAGACGCATCGCTAAAAATCATTATTGAGCCTAGGAATGAAAGTTCACCTTTTATATTTTGTTTTTACCAGTGGCTATGCCTTTCTGATTTTTTAAGAAGTTATGAATGTCGTGGCAGTCTATGATTAAGGCAACACTATTGAATGCAGGATTTTAATGGTAACCTATATTATTTTTCGTGTGATAAGGTGGATAAATACATATGTAATATTTAAAGACACAAACCTGAGTGGTGCAAGCTCACAGAGCACAAGTTTCCCGAGGGCGCCAAAGAGTACGAAGGCTCGTCCTTTGGCTTCAACAGCTCGTGTGTGGACATCGCATGGATTGACAGCTCCTGGACAAAACAACAGTAAACATTCATTAATCTGCTAACGAAGTGAATATAATGAGATTAGGTAATATGCAATAATTACAATTAAACTCTTCTTCTTTTACTCGTATTTGGATTGCGAGAACACAATCCTGTCATCATACATCATGTACAGCCATAGGCGTCTAATACAGCGCTATAGTACGAGTATAACACCGAGTGCTCATGGCTCCTTTTTATGATAATTCAACAAGTAACTTTTCTTCTCTAGTATTGCGAGAACAGAACTCTCCTGGTATCAGACATCAAGAACAACCAAAACCATCAACCAACTTAGCAATATACAAAGTCCATAATGATCCCCCGCTCGGATGCAAAGCGCCAACATTTTAATAATTAAAATGACACAAGTCTTCCATAGTCAAACAAAACTGGCGACAATTTAACAACAGTCAAAAAATCACATTTTTTTTGTCTGAAACCAGATGAAAAAATAATTTATGGTCGAAAAACTCAAAGTTATTAATTATAATGACAATGTTAATATGTCGGAAAACAATAATAAATCGTACCAACTCGACAGTGCGCGTATAAAAGTATCCTTGAACATCTTTATAAAATCCGTAGTCTCCGTAGAAATTAGCGTCCACCGCGTAAACACGTGCAGACTATATTTTTCTAATGTTAATATTAAATCGAATCTCGAAGAGATGGCTAATAAATATCCAACAATATCTATTTTTACATATGTAGGATGCTTTCTCCAATCTTGAATGAACGGGCGACCCTCCTCGTAATGTTTGACTGTAACGCGCGCGTTGGCGCAAGGGAGGAACGTACGCGACAATCAAATGTTTTCAAGGGACTAAAACAAAGGGTTTTGATTTTATAAAACTTTATTTGACACAGAAAAACGTAATTTATATTGTATAAAGTTCTAAAACCGCTTGTTTTCTAGTATTAACAGTGTGTTCGTTCGACATAACATTTTTTTATCACGTAAGTCAAATACCACACTCTAGTGTACCTTACATTATAAGCTATAACTTTGACTGTACATCATTGATTGTTTTTGTTCATAATAAACTTAATAAAACACAAAATATATTTTCTATAAAATGTATGAACATCCTGAAACCTTTTTCAGCGTAATCAATTTCTAGTACTAAGCTGATAAGAAAATTATTCTGAACACTCTTGAAGGATATGAGCATAATACGCTTTGCGCTCTTCTCACACGCCGATGTGTTAGCTTTTTGACAGTGTCAGCTATATCCGAGCTGATTTGTTCGCAACAGCTGCGCGCGCGCACCTATTAACCGCTGATACATGTTTGTCAGCCGGCTATTAGGGTGAAAGAGATAAAATTTCGGAATCATCTATATAAGAGCGAGATCGATTCACTTCTCCAATTCACGACCAATATTTATTTGCTGCATCGTGACACCCGAGAAAAATTCTTGTACCAAAAAATTAGAATTTCAGTATAAATGGGCCAGCGCTGGCAGACCATTCTTCTTGTTGCTATATAAAGAAATATTGGTCAAGGAATGCTACTTATAATAATATTTAGATGTCTGCGAATAAAACTATTCAACAAATAGTAAATCTGCGATAGAAATGTTACGATAAATTCTCCCATAAAAATTAAAAAACGAAAGGAAATGAGTGATTTGCGAAAGAATTATAGGCCACTTTGTAAAAGCATCACCAACCATATAATTGAGACATTTATTACTTGTTCTTTTTTATAACAAACAATATATTCTTGGCTTATTATCAACTACCTACCGTCTACTCTCACAAGCTCACACATAACAAAAGATAATCATCCATAATCTACAAAATCCAACAAACCGAAAAGCATTATTGAGTTGAATTAACTAATTAGCGAAGTATACATATTGTATGCTGTGACTTGTGAGTCTAAATCTTTATTTAACATTTTACTTCAGCATTTGAAATTAAACGAGTTAAAAACGATCGCTCCATATTGATTATGCAGTATTTGGATGGCCTTTGCTAATTAACGGACGTCACTTAGCGCTTTCTTTTTAGCTTAGTTAAATAACACTGAATTAATAAAATAATATGGCTTAGAGATAAATAAATCATTAACATCTTTATAATTCATTATTTGATTACTATTAACGTGCTTGTTATTACTAGTTCACTCGCAAATACGATAACGTACGCGACTCGGACGTCTCAAAGCGAACGCAATATTTCTCGTTTGGTAAAGGAATGTCAAACAAAATTATCCCTGTAAAACAATGATGGTAATCGAAATTCTTTCACGTCGTGATGAATTAACTAATAAAATTCAAAGACAAAGTTTTGTATAAATAAATAAAATATTCCCAGCATTTATAAAAAATGTCTGCTAACTTCGACACGGTGACGAGGCGACAGTGGATCGCAGGGATTAAACCAAAATAGCACTGTAATTAATGGGCGTTTCCAAGCCCACAATCTCAAAACGAAACGCATTTCGAGAATTCCGACTCATACATAATAAACCCCTGGAACTGGATAAATCAGAGTTTTTAGCGAAGAAAACGCATCGGATTTTCAAAGTCAGTTGGTCTTTAACTAAAAACTTTCAAAGTTTCCACCATCAGATACTTACTTTGTTATACAATAAAAATATTTTGATACTACGAGTATTATTTTTTTCAGCGGTGCACTAAATAGTATTTTTGTTTCATTTAGTTGTTATATTTTACGTAAGGATAAAATCAACAAAATAAAGATTGGAGGAGGCCTTTGTCCAGCAGTGGGCGTCATTTGGCTGAAACGAACGAACGAAAGATTGATCTTCATCATCATCTCAGCCATAGGACGTCCACTGCTGAACGTAGGCCTCCCCCAATGCTTGTCATGTTTCCAGCGCCTTATGTCATTAATGTCAATTTTGTTGGGGAGTGTGGACAGTGAAGGCGATTTCCCCGAATGATTAACCCATTACTTCCCAAGCATCGAAATCTTTGGAATTTTTTGATCAAATCTTGAAACTAAGTTCATAATAGGCTAAGAAAAAATAATAAAAACAAAAAAATAAAAAAAATAGTACCTTTAATGCTTAGTCAGCCTGTCCTATAAATATGACAGTGGGGACATGTGATCAGAAATAATAAAAGATAACAATTGTAAGAAAATTAGCAGTATTTGAAAATTTGTCCGTAAACAGCTTTAAACATAAAGTTTTAGGAACTTATTTTGTATGGTAAGGTATAAAACAATCACTGCAGAGTGTTTTTTTCACATTTAGCGCAAAAAATAAGAGTTTTTTTTTTACAATCTTCTCCCTGGCAATGCCTCTATTTGTCCCTCTTCGTCATATAGTCGTTAGTATTGATCATATTGTCAAACCTCACAGGTTGTAAAAGGCGTTCATACGTACCTGGTGCAGGTTTTCTTGCCTTGCCTCCCGATTTTTTTATCCAAGAAAAAACCCTACGCTTGAAATCTTTCTAGATTTCAATGTCTCATCTTTATTTACCTCATTGTAAATAATAAATAATCCATGCATTCACTAGGGACATGTCTAAAACACGAATGACTAAGGCCAATACCATTTTTTGCCTCTGAAGCTGAAGATAATCTATTGATTACAGAATTGGACGAAAGTCAACGATAGAAATATTTGAAGTTTTGTGAACTTTTTGTTCACTAATCCCCATTAACGCCAATTGGAGCTTATAAAACTTATAATGGGGAATAATGAACTAAAAAGTTCGTTAATCCCCATTACGTTAAAAATAAAATCCTAATATAACGGGGATTAATGAACTTGTTAGTTCATTATTCCCCATTATAAGCTCCAATTGGCGTTAACGGGGATTAGTGAACAAAAAGTTCACTCTTCCCCGTTGACGGGGATTGTCAATGGGGAATAGTGGAATAAGCCCATTGTTTTGCGGTATTAGATACCAGCTGAATTTCAGAATATACTGGATTACTAGAAGAAGTCGCCAGAACCTTCTTCCATGTCAGTCATTTCGTCCACTTCGTCCGGAGGTAATATGGCTACTTCATTATCGTCCAACTCCTCACCACTACAGTTTTCTTTATATCTGTTCGGCAGAGACCTTTTGAGTAATCTAAACACAAGACCCGCAAGAAACAAACAATTGACACGTTTGAACTAGTGCTTATCGTTGCAGATCCGAAAATGCCTTCGCGGCAAATTGTATAGACATGTTCCCAGTGTCATATTTATAGTACGGCTTATTTTGAAACATTACCACAAGTTTATAAATTATGTTTTGTTTATGTTTATTTTTTTTATGTATTGGTAAATGTCTAAGAATCAGTTTTATGTAAATTGGAGGTGGCCAGTTTTTTAATATTATGGTATATAAAATCAAAATATGATGCTTCTTTTTGAGGCAACAAAAGTGTTAATTTGAAAAAATTACATTAAAATAACGGATACACTTTTTGCAGCCGAAAAAAATTATTTTATTAGAATAACAGTGCAAGAATACGAATTTTGTCAAAAACAATAAAAATTAGTTTATTAACTTGTAAAAAAAAAATGTTGAATATGGTGTCCTAAAAATAGGACAGTGGGGAGGAATGGGTTAATTAAAATTCGTCAGACGTGTTTACCAATTTTTCACTTTGACAGTTCATGTGAGATTTACGAGTAAGCCGTTCCGGCTCACTATGAGTTACCTCGCTTTTCGTGCACTGACTATCTATCTAGGCTTTTTTATCTAAGATTAAATTACAAGTAGTAAAGTACAATTGCATAGACATTTTACAAAGGTTCCACATTGAAAATAGTTATGAGGAATCCTTAAGTTATGAGCATAATTCGTCACCTATCTTTTTCGTCAATCGATTTTTCGTCGGCCGATTGTTTACTTGGGCAGTTGATCAGTATGGGCAATTGGGCATGTATGGAAGTGCGCACATTACACCGATTCGACTTGGCCGATTCTTCATACAATTTAAAATCGGGCACAACTATCGACCAATTAAAAGTTGATGGTCTGCGCCTAGGCTAAAACTTGATT